AGAAGCTGGGTTGGAAGCCATGATTACTGGATCCATAGTTGGCTTTCAGACCTTCCAGAAAGGAAGAGAAGTGACCACCTGTTTTATTTTTCCCTTCCTTGGCTTAAGAGTCCCATGGAAAGCCTATTCCTATTAATTTGTTTTCTTTGACTGTTAATATATTTGAGAAAGGATTAAATGGAAATACTGTACTAAAATAGTAAAATAAAGAGACTTTGCAAAGCTCGCCAGAGATCTGAAGTTTACCCAGGGCCTCAGGGACCAGTACAGCCCAGCAGTGGGATTTTATTGTATGTATAATTTCCCCCAAAGATGCCTTCTTTGCTTCTTTACAGTAAATGTGAAATTGACTTCAGATTTTAGGCCCACAAATATATTTTTAAAGGCATTTTAATCTTCTTTGGGTGATGAATGCCTTTGCAGACTGGCTAATAGGCACACGTCAGCACACATTTCAGTGGTTCCTTCTATTTTAAATTTCCTTTTGCATGTTGTCTTTGATCCTTCCACTTTGTACTTAGAGTTGGATTACTTCTATAAAGCAAGTGGACAATTTCCCTTGATGTGGATCTTGGGAAAGTAGTCCAGAGTCATTTTTTCCCCCTACTTTCTCATTCCCAAGCAATGTGCTGCAGCAATATAGGTGACCCCATAAACTGTGGGACAGATTATCTAAGTAGCCCCTTGATACCTTCTGAACAGACATGAGCAATACTCAAGGGCAGGGAAGCAAGAATGCTTTAAAGAGAAAAAAAGCAGGAAGGGTGGTAGCCTGTGAATACTCGAATAAGGGGACTGTGCTGTGTTAGCCCACACGGAGTCCTGCTGCTGTTGTTTTGCTGAATTGAATGAATGGATGTCTGTTTTGTTTCTTGGAGGATGTTTTCTAATAAACATTTTGCCAGAAACCCAGGTCCTTCTTCTTACCCAAGTGAGAGAGTTTTTATTAGGGAAAAGAATAGCTTCTCTTTCTACACAGAATTAGGAAGAAAACTAGTTCCTCATCAAACTTTGGTTCAACTTTTAGTTCTTCTTTTTTTTGGATTATCTATTTTTCTTAAGTTTTTGAGTTGAATTTTTAGCTCAGGGATTTTCAGTGTTTAAGTGGTTTTTCTTTACTTATATAAGAATTTAAGTCTATGCTTTTCTCACGGGAGCTACAGCCCACAAATTGTGATATAGCAGTTCCATAATTGTTCAGTATAGAGCATTTTAAAATTTCAATTATTTTTTCCACTGACTTATGAATTATTTAGAAGTGGATTAAGTCATACATGTTTTGGGAAGGTTATATACATTACTGATTTCTCATTTATTTGCTTTGTGATTTGAGTGATATACACTTTGATATTAGTTGAGACTTGTGGCATTATCATAAAGTCATCTTTCATAAGTAATACATAGATGTTTGAGAATAATGTATATTTGCTTACCTCCATTAGACCAAGCTTATGATTAGAAGAGATTTTCAATCCTTTCTCTCTAGGCTGAATGTCCTGTTGTTTGATCAGTTTCTGAGAAAGATGCGTTAAAATCAGTCTTTATGTCTGGGGATTGAATGTAAATTGAGATTATCATATTAGACACACACAAGTACAAAACTGTCATATCTTCTTGGGGAATAATAGTTCTTTTTATTAAATGCAGTTTATTTTATCCCTAATAATGATTTTTCTGGATTTATTTTGACTTCTCTTTGCTTGATGTATATTTAGTATATTTACATTTACTTTCAATCTTTAGGTGTTTTTAGTTTTAAACGTGTTGCTCGTAAGCAGCGTATAGATAGATTTTGAAAATCCAACCTGGCAACCACTGCATTTCACAAGGTGATTTATTTGGTGCTTTCTATTCACCTGCTTTATGTTTGTATTTTTATTTCTCCATTTTTACCTTCTATCAGTAGAATCAAAAAGGTTTTGATATACCTTTTCCCTCTGCTGATTTTGAAATTTTATTATATCTATACCTTTTTTTTTTTTTTTTTTCCAAATCTGTACACCAAGGAAGGTTTCCCATGGATAGAATCTCCCACGCTGTCACCTTCGGATATTCTCGCGGTCCGCTGCAGCGAGCGCGGTCTCCCGAGGGTTGCAGGAAAGGGGCATCGAAGCCTGCAGAGCTTTGCTAGGTCCGGGAAGGTGCAGCCGAACACTTGTGCTCCATCCTGCTCGGTGCCGCCTCCCGGGCCTCCTATTCCTCTACTTTTAACGATGATCCTTACATTTCTCACATGTATACTTAACAAGCCTGAAATTTATCAGTTTTGCTACTCGGCATTTTAGAACCATCTTGCTTTTTTTTTTTTTTTTTTTTTGCGGTACACGGGCCTCTCACTGTTGTGGCCTCTCCCGTTGCGGAGCACAGGCTGCGGACGCGCAGGCTCAGCGGCCATGGCTCACGGGCCCAGCCACTCCTGGGCATGTAGGATCTTCCTGGACCGGGGCACGAACCCGTGTCCCCTGCATCGGCAGGCGGACTCTCAACCACTGCGCCACCAGGGAAGCCCTACCATCTTGCTTTTTTAAACTCCAAGTTAGTTGTTATAATTTTTGTTTTGATTAATCAAATCTTCAGATTTACACTGTGTTTTTAAGTTTCTTTGTTCACTGTTGCTTCTTACATCCTTTCTTTCTGAGTTGAATCTCCTCTTTATGAATTATATCTTTAAGAAGATCTGATAGTGCGAGTCTATTTGTGGTAAGTCCTTTTGTGCTTTTAAATAAAAGTATATTTACTTGGCCCTGATGTTTAAATGGTAGTTTAGTGGGACTAAAAAAAAAAAATCTTGGTTGACAGTTATTTGAGGATATTATTCTACTCTATCTTCAATTGTTACTGCTTAGAAGTTGGCTGTCTGGTCATCCAGACTGAACTCGTCTTTTTCTTTTCTGGTTGCTTTTAAGAGCACTTTTACCTTAATGAGTTTAGATTTGGATTTCGTTTAACTTTTTCTGCTCAAAGCTTGTTTTGTTTCCTGAATCTAAGGATCAATTTGGGATCATCTGAATCAATCTGGGATAATTTTTATCCAGTATTCTCTTTGACTACTGCTTCTCCCCCATTCTTTTTCTTGTCTCTCCTGGAAATGTATCTGTTGTACCTTGTCATTCTGGCAATCCATGTCACGTAACTTCTCATTCATATTTCCCATGACTTTATTTTGCATTCTGGGTAATTTTCTCAAATTTACCATCCAGTTTACTAATCTTCACTTCATATGTATTTATTCAGGTGTTTAACATTGAGTTTTTAATGTGTCATGACAGTTGTCATTTCTAGCAGTGGTACTGGGTTCTTTTTCAAGCCTGTTTTTTCTTAGGACACTTTATTTCTTCTTTTATATCTTTAATCATTATAAATATATTTTACAGTCTATATATGAAATTCTTGGAGTTCAATCCTGCCCTACATTGCATCTACTATATCATGGTGGATTGTACTGAAAATTTCATATTCTGAGTTTGTCTTCGACAGAGCTTTATGGGACTACTACTGAGGGGCATGGGTTGTGAACATGTTTCTGTGGAATAGGCTTTTGTTTGCTTTTGCCATGTGTCCATGGGTATCTCAGACCAGTTCCAATTTTTAAATTAATGTCTTGGCATGAGTGTTCCAAGAACATGTATATGGTATAGAGGACAACTACAAACTTGAACTACTGTGTAGTATAGGTCCACAGTTACAAATTCATACGGTCAACTTCACCTTCCACACCAAACCCAGCTCAAGAGAGACCAACTTTCTTTTCTTGATAGGTATTGGCAGGCAGCTAAAGCAATCTACTTTTCTTTTATACCTGGTCCTTGGGGATTTCCATTACTTTCTTGCAAGCTCAGAAAGGATGTTTGTTCTGTATTATTTAGAATATAGTAGCAAGGCATTACGGGGAAACTACATGTGCCATGTGCCAGAACCAGAAGTCTGGGGGGAGTCAGTTATTTGTACATTTGAATCTTGAAGGATGGGGGGTTAGGGGTGCCAACCCCCCAAGCAGTCAAAAATCTGCAGATAATTTTACAGTTGGCCCTCCATCTCCATGCTTCCAAATCCACGGATTCAACCAACTGTGGATAGTGTAGTACTGTAGTACATATTTATTGGAAAAAATCTGCATAGAAGTGGACCTGTGCAGTTCAAACTTGTGTTGTCTGAATCAACTGTATTTAAAATAAAACATATAGTCAACATTATCTCTGATATGGAATAATTTCAGAGTACCATTTACATGTAATGGATTTTAGAATGTGAATATTTGAGGATTAAAAAAATCTATTTAATTAGCTCATTCTTTAAAACTACCAATGAACTATTTCTAAATCTGCACTGGACATTTCTTGGGACCATGTTCATTAAATACCAAATCCTGTATTGGAATCTTGAAGACAGTGATTATGGAATAATAAGAAGGAAGTCTATTTGTATATTCGTCAAAGCTCTTTTAGGAACAAATAAGAGAAACTCAACTCCAAGTGGCTTAAGTAAAAAGAAATATTTATTGATTCAGATAGCTAAAAAATCCTGGGATTTATTGTTCAAGTACAGCTAGATTGACATGCTCAGAAAATGTAATTGGAATCAGTCTCCTTTAATCTCTTGTTTCTACTTTTTTTTCTGTGTTGGCCTCACTTTCATTTGAATTCTCTCCTTATGGTGGCAAGATGTTTTCCAACAGCTCCAGTAGAACAGAACTTCTCTTTCCCAGTCTAACAAATATCCTGGGACTGTGGCTTATTGGCCTGCCTTAGGTAATCTGTCCATCCTTGGCCAGTCCAAGTGGCTGAGGGATGATGTGCTCTGATTGACCTGGTCCCTGGAGCTGTGGAGTGGAGTCAGCTTTGGTCAAACTACATAGGCTGAGAATGGAGGAGAGTAGTTCTCTGAGAGAAAAATCGAGGTTCCGTCATCAGAAGACTGGACTGGAAACTGGGTACACAAAACACAACAACTGTCTTCCATAACCTATCTAATTGCTTGTTTGTGTTTGGTCTTCATTTCAGGACAGTGTTGAGTTTAGAAACATCTGCAGTCATTTGGCTCTACAGATTGAAGGACAGCAGTTTGACAGAGATTTGAGTGCTGCTCACCAGTGTTTGAAGATGATAGTCAAGAAGCTGATCCAGTCTCTTGCTAATCTTCCTTCGGATGCCCACATGGTAGCCTGTGCTTCCTTGAGACAGATCTTACAGAATCTCCCAGACATATGAGTGTTCAAGACACTGGAATTAAAACCACAGCGAACACTGCTAAGAGGACTGGCTACCTTAAATTCCTAAGTGGATCAGCAGACAATGGATGTTTTTATTCCTAGGAAGGAGAGACTTGGTAGCACATATAGCAGTCTGACCAGTGGCATCTGTAACCCTTGGGAATTATAGCATGTTGGTGAAAAATTTTTAAAGCAGTAGTTCACATTTTTAAGTGTCTTGACATATTTGCTGACTTTTTGATTGAAATATATTCCACTTTGTGGAACTGACTGGATTACATGTGTATATACATTTATGAATATATATTAAGTGTTAATTTTAATTGAATGACACCTTAATCTACATTCATATTAATGTAGGCCTATGAGGTTTAATATGGCTATTGGATGATTAGAGCTCCATGGTTTTTCAAATTATTTTGAATAAATGGGATATTCGGTAATTGATATGTTCTACTTACTGAGCACTTCATTTTGTGTTATGAGAATGATCTCTGGATGTTGTAGGACCACACCACATGTGTCAGTAATTATCAGTTCCAATATTGGCATTAATAACTTGCTGTTGGGCAGCGAAGAGCTGCTTCTAAACCTTGTGCTTTCAACTACTGATTTGTAAATAAATGGTAATGAGCTCTGAAGTACCAAGGCTATATGATATGTAAGTACAAAGTACAGTATTATTAAAGTCTCACGTGAAAACATCTAGTTTCTCATACTCTTTCTAAATATTCCCACTGAAGTAGGAAATTCTTGGAAAAGAAAGGACGGAGTGGATATACTGGCAGATTTCCTTAAATATCTAGAGTAAGGAAAAGAGAGAGTGACTTTTTTTGCAACAAAAATCTACACATGCTTAGGAAAAACCAAATTTCCTGTTGTTTAATGGTGACCGCGTTGAGAACCAAAGTAAATTGAAGTGCTGCTTTTCCCTTAAAGTTTTAATAGAAATGGCATCAGATTTAGAAAGAAAAGAGTATAATGTAGCTTGTTTTCTGAAGGAATTATAAACTGGGTCTGTATGGTAAGATACCTACTGTTAAAACAATTAAGTGATAAGAATAATCAAAGTCTTTTTAATCTCACATATTCTAATCCTAGTTGGTTTCACATATTTTCTTCCACAATCTTAAGGTAAGTATATTGCTTCTTTTTAGATGTTACTGACCATTTCCGTAGAAGAGAAATAAATTTATGAGACTGAATTTTACATGAAAGATGAGAGGTGTGTATTTATGCATGTGCATGTGTGTATAGGGGAAAGGGTGGGCCAGAAGGGAAGGGCACTCATTTCTGGGGAACAATCTTTAGCACATTGTTCTCGCACTCCTAGGAAACGCTGTATCCTGGGGGTACCACTGTACTTTATGGTGCTGTATCCTGGGGGTACCACTGTACTTTATGGTGCTGTATCCTGGGGGTACCACTGTACTTTATGGTGCTGTCTTTCCCCACGGAAATTATTCCAAGACTCTTCTCTAAAGACATAGCATTATTATAGGCTGCCTTCCCATTGTAATCAATATCCCTATCAATAAATATTAATATTATGGGTTTTTTATAACTCCTGTTCCAAGAAATATTGAAGATTTTTGCTTTCCTGTCTGTATTTGTGCTTTTTTCCTCACTTTGCAGTGTGTTTCCCACAGACCAGTTGAAACCCCATTCATCCTTCAAGGCCTGATTTATTCACCATTTCTTTCATGAGCCCTCCTGGATCATCCCAGTAGGATGTGGGCTCTTCCTCCTCTGAACTCACATAAAAACACACTTTGTGCTACTGCACAGGCATTTATCACACACCATCTTATAGCATGGCTATTGCTATACCTGCCATCAAGATTGGCTTGCCTGAGGGCAAGGATTATTCTAGACATCTTTGTATATTGCATAGCAGCTATAATTCTAAAAGTTCTTTGACTCTACTAGAACTTCCATGGCCCCTACCACTTTTTCACACACACACACACACACACACACACACACACACATTTTTACTTCTGTGGCTTATGTTCTTTGCTCAGTCTGTATAATCATTTGGTTGTACATGCTGCTCTCTTCTTTTCTTCCCTTTGGTTGAGTGCTGCTGGCAAAACTCCATTCTTGGTCAAGACCAACTCTCCTCCTACTCCCATGTCTACTCGTGAGTTCTGAATATGGCTGAAGAACAACACACGGCTATGCCAACTTACTTCAATTCATGGCTTGCAATCTCAAGAGACCCTCATGTCCTCCATTAGTGCTACTCCATTTCCTAGGACTGCATTGTCCAATATGGCAACCACTGGCCACATGTGACTTTGAGCACTTGAATACGGTTAGTCTGAATTGAGATGTGCTGAAAATGTAAAACGCACGTTGGCTTTTAAAACTAAAATTGTTTTTATCATTAAAAACAAAGAATGTAAAAGATCTCAATAATTTTTTTATACAGATACATGCTGAAATGATAATATTTTGAATATATTTGGTTACATAAAATACATTCCTTTTTTTTTTTTTTTTGCGGTACACGGGCCTCTCACTGTTGTGGCCTCTCCCGTTGCGGAGCACAGGCTCCGGACGCACAGGCTCAGCGGCCATGGCTCACGGGCCCAGCCGCTCCGCGGCATGTGGGATCTTCCCGGACCGGGGCACGAACCCGTGTCCCCTGCATCGGTAGGCGGACTCCCAACCACTGCGCCACCAGGGAAGCCCATAAAATACATTCTTAAAATTAATTTTATCAGTTTTGTTCTACCTCTTTAAGATGGCTACTAGAAAATTTGAAATTTAATTTGTGGCTTGCATTGTATTTCTATAGGGTAGTGCTGTCCTAGAAAATTCACTGGGCAATTCAGTGCTGTCCTTGACAATTACTCTCTGAGGGGTTTGTTCCATACCTTCTCAAACTTGATTCTTCTTCATTTTTCTCATTCTCAGCTGATGACCTTGCTTCCGATGGCACTGAAAAAAAAAAAAAAGCCCTCTGAAGAGCATGTTCATCTTCACACTAACAGATCTACCATATACCCTGATACCCTTTTGTTATAAGGAGGACTTGCCCTGCTCCTACCTGAAGCTGATCAACCACTCAGGCCCTGGACCCTGTCCTCTCTTCACTTACTTGAAGACTTGCCTTTTGCATTCATTCCTTTGTGTGCATTACCAGTTTTTGCTTCTTAATGGGAGCATTTCCATCAGCATGATATTATGTTATAGGATCTCCAATCTTTATTTTTTTAATTTTTTTTTATATTACTGATTTTTTTTTACATCTTTATTGGAGTATAATTGCTTTACAGTGTTGTTAGTTTCTGCTGTATAACAAAGTGAATCAGCTACAGGTGTACATAAATCCCCATATCCCCTCCCTCTTGAGCCTCCCTCCCACCCTCCAATCTTTAAACAACAATTTCTCCAGCTACAACTCTATTTTTCTCCTTACCTTAAGAGCAAAATTGATTGCAATAGTCTAAATTAGTTGTCTACAATTTGTTTTTTCTGATTCCCTTTTGAACTCATACCAAATGGATTTTGTACCCACAACTCCATGGAAATTGCTCTTGTTAAGGTCCCTAATGACTGCCCCACTGATAAATTCAAGGGTAAATTCTCAGTGCTCATCTTATTTCATCTATCAACAGTTTTTGACACAATTGATTACTCCCTACATGAATCACTTTCTTATTCTGATTTCCACGTCAGCAGACTTTCATGGTTTTACCTTTTTTGTAGCTCACTTCACAGAACTGTTTCCTGGTTCCTCCACATCTCCCTAACTTCTTAATTTTGGAGTGCTTCAGGGTTCAGTCTAGGTCCTCTTCTCTATCTACCCTTACTCCATGGTGATTTTTAAATTACCGGCTATTCACCAATGACACCCAGGTATATGTCTTTCGCCCTGAACTCCAGACTCCTGTAGCAACTGACTACAGGATGTCTTTACTTGAATGTCTACAAGGCATTTCAAATTCCAAAATGGAATTCTTGATTACCAACCCTGCTTCTCCCCATCCTCTAAATCTCATGTGGCGGTGGCTCATATGCGTGCAGTCACATAGGCAAAAAAGAAAAACACTGAAGCCATCCTTGTCTCCTCTATTACTCTCACCTCTAGCCACTCAATCAGCAAAACCTTCAAAATACATCTCCAATCAGATTACTTCTGACCACTTCCGTAGCCACTATTATCTCCTGCCTGGAATATTGCAGTACCTTCCTGAATTGTCAGACTACTTCACTGGTGTCTTCTCATTATCTATTCTCCACACATCAACCAGAGTAATATAAACCAGATCAATTATTGCTCTGCTCTAAACCCACCAATGGCTGCCTGTTTTACTCAGAATGGAATCCAAATTCTGCCTCTGATCCATCTCTTGTCGCACTTCTGTTCTAACAACACTGATCTCTTTGCCACTCTCACCTCTTCAAACACAACCGGTCTCAGGGCCTTTGCACTTGCTTTTCGCTCTGCTTGAAAGACTTTTCTCTCGTCTGCTTTAAGTAGGTATTGACTCCAATGTCACCTCATTAAAAAGGCCTCTCTAATCCCCTTACTGAAAATACTATCCCCTGTCACTCTCTTACCCCTTCTCCCTGCTTTGTTTTCTCCTTAACTCTTATAATGGCCTGAATTTATTTATGTGTTTATTGACTGTTGTAATTGGGTTGGCTGGCGGCCCCCAAAGGTTATGTCCATGTCCTAATCAATGGAACTTGTGAATATTACCATATATGGCAAAAAAGTGAATATACTTGAATGGTGACAGATGTGATTATATTAGGGTTATTGGGATGAGATTATTTGGGATTATCCGGGTGGACCCTAAATGCCATCACATGTCCTTAAAAGAAAGAGGCAAAGGGAGACAGTATAGGCAAAAGAGGAGGTGGCAGCATGACAGAGACACAGGCTGCAGTGATGTGTCCACAAGTTAAAGAATCCTGACAGCTATCAGAACCTGGAAGAGGCAAAGATCAGATTCTCCCCTCGAGCCTTCAGAGGGAGAGCTGCCTTGTGGACACCTGGATTTTGGACTCCTGGTCTCCAGAACTGTGAGAATAAATTTTTGTTGTTTTAAGGCACCCAGTTTGTGATAACTTGTTGTGGCAGCCGTAAGAAATGAATACACCTGCTTTTCCTCACTGGAATGTAAGCACTGGGACGTCGTGCATGGCTGTATCCCCAGTGCTGCAGCAAGGCCTGGCACAGAGCAGCAGCCCAATAAACATCTGATGAATGAAGACATACAAGTCATGTGGTTAGTTATTTCAGCTGTTTTGTTTGTTCTTTCTTCTGTTTGTTTTTTACTGAGGGATTTGATTCCTCCAGAAGTTTCCCAAGTCTTATATATCTTCTGGTAAATATCTAAACTCAAAGAAAAAACTAAAAGGAGAGTTTTAAGGGTTAAATGAGTCAGCACTTTTCGGTCAGGTGTTGGGTTAAAAATAATCATGTAGCTATCATTCAATAAAAGGGTAATAATTATGATGGGCATCATTGTAACAGGGACTGGGCCAGCCTAGGCCACTCTGAAGAGTGGGGTCCTTTTTCTCTTCTTCCTTACCCCAAAGACTACATAAATGTACCTTTAAAAGCAGATTTTTAAACTTTATTATCGTGGGCTATTTTCTTCCACAGCCATGTCATCATCATCATCATCATCAACAACAACCACCATAACAGAAGTTCCTACTTTTTTGTGGCTCAAGCAACATCTGGGGGGGATTTGATCATCTTGGAGCCAAGCTGTTTTTTTTAATTTCAGACCATATAGCACCTTGAACAAGCGTGGCACTTGGGTGGGTGAGGACAGTTTGTGGGTGTCTCTTGATAATGCTGAGAAAACTTTGAGTCATCTGATAATTTCTTTGTTGTATTTCCTTAGATATTTAACCCTCGCATTCTCCTGGACTCTTATGTTTGTATGCTCTTAACAATAGATTTCTAGAAGCACATTTGCTTATGGAATAAAAATACCGAGGGGCCATACCGAGGACTTTCTAAGTAGAGCTGGACAGCCAAGTGACAAGATCATACCTATACCCCTTTCTCTTATCCTTAGATACTCTCCTCACTCTTGTGTCTACTTTTCTGGAAGCTCTGCGAGGTCCCAGATTGGCCTGATCTTACATCCTTTTGACTGCATGCCTTATTCTCATAGAGAAACTATCTTTGGGTTCCTTTGGCTGTGTTCCATTTTCTTTTGTCTCATCAGAATCAGTTCTGTTCTCTCATTTAACTGCTCTTACTCTTCTTACAGTTTCTCCCCAAAGTGGATTAGTTTCCTTGGTTTAACTTAAGGCCTTTGGAGGGTAGGAAGCCATTCAGATACTTGTTCTATGCAGAACACAAGACTACCAGGATCAAATTTTTCATGTCTAAAAATTCCCTGCAACAGTTGGCCCCATTATCCAGTCTTCTTCATGCTCTGATGCCAGATACTTATGGAGTAAATCTATCTGAGAGGAGTATAAATTCTGTGGATCCATGAGTTTCAAGACACATTTAATTCGGCAGAACTTTGAATAAGAAGTGTTCTGTATAATCTGGGTATCCTCATCAAGGATCCCAGTGTTCCATTCTACAGCCAAAAACTTACCACAGTCCTGGTTTCACTTAGCTCATATCAGAAAGGTCTAGGTTATTATGGTCCTGGCATATGTTACTGGAGAGCTTACTTTTGTCTGATGTGACTTCTTTACTGCTATGCTCAATAGAAGTGATATTTAAAGCTGAGCCATGGTTTATAAATTTCTCTTCTTGTAGACAAGCTCGTATTTGCTCCATGCTTACAGTCATAAGTCAGGAGACAATTTTAAGGCTGATAGAAATCTCTCCCAGCACAGATGTAACACTAATTTGTTCCTCTTGCCTTGATGAAGAATTTGATATCATCATGGCTTCACTTTCTTTTTCCTTAAAAAAGCATTATGAAATGTCTGGAGCGTAGAGGGTATCTGGTGGAAAAATATATTCACCGTGATCCAAGAAATGAGTCGCCAAAGCCAGTGTTGGCTTAAGCTGGTACAGAGAGAAGAGAGGAGGTTCCATAAACCCCCTTCCCCTTCCCTGCACGTGTAACTCTAGCTCTAAATGTAACTGAGGCGTATAGGGGCACAGCACATGCTAGGAATACGTGTGTGTGTCTGTGTGTGTGTGTCTGGGCTGGAGGAAAGGAGGGCAGGGGAGGAAGTACACCTGAGTCAGGTGTTATAATCCCAAACATGAGGAAAGCAGTGGGATAATTTGGAAAATGAATGTCCTTGGGGATATCTGCAGACTCACGTTGAGGAGGTCATCAAATGAATGATTGGTTTATTGATCTGCTCAAATAAAAAATATAGGGCTTCTCACACATGAAGTTTTTCACGCCATTGGATAATTTGCTTAGTGCTGATGTGACAACTATCTTATGTACGACCTCACTGTCCTCAAAGTCTGTCTCCATACCCTCTCATCTCTCAGCCTCAATCTTCCCAATCTTCTCTCAGCTCCTCTCCAAGTCTTGGACCATCTTGCATAGAATTTGAGGGCAAAGGTATTCATAAGGCTATTAATTGCATTATTTTTTGTATCTAAACATTCTTTTATGTATAAATAAAGTTAACAGATATTGGTCTTTTGTTCTTTTCTCTCAATTTTTCATATGTTCCCTTGCATCTCTTACAGTCTCAGATTACATGATAATTTGTTAGACACCTATTTCCTGTGTAACTCAAAAGTGAACTAGATGTGCATATAGTAGGAATACTGTTTACACACACATAGGATGAATAGTCATACTTAGAGGGAACGTGAATAAAGCTTCTCTATCCATTTTTCTCTCCTGGCAATTTTGATTGAAAGACAAAAAAAGAATGAGATAAACTTTGTGGGTGCAATTTCCCTCACACTTTTGCTTAATTAAAT